TGCTATTTAGATAATTCTATTAGAGATGAGGTGCATTGAATTTATTTCTGCCAAAGATTTCTCTCTTCTTATTAATTTCAATAATTTTGATATATATAAAAATAATCATTTTGACTGTTTTCTTCACACATAATAAGTGTTTTAATTTTTGAATAATTTATAAAATACTTTGAATACTTTTATTTATGCAAGATATGACAAATTATTTGTTATTGGTTTGATATTGATTTTGGAGATGATTTATAGAATCAATTTTTGTTCTACATGGAAATTTGTTAAACTAAATTTGCCAATAATTGCAAAATTAACTTTGATTTTCAAAGTAAAACTCTTTTTTTTTATATTGTATAGTATTTATCATGAAAAACAAAAATTTCAAAGAAATCTTAAATCATTATTTAAAAAAAAATATTAAATTCTTTATGTTTATTTAAATTTAATTTAAATTTTTTAATTTAAAGCATTTTTGAATGCTTATAAAAGATCTTTTTTACCAGTTCAATATGATTTTCAATGATTGGACAAATTTGAATATAATATTAATAATTTGAAATATAATAAATTCTCTTTAGAATTAGGAATTTTGTAATTTATTTAATATCAAAATCAACAAAGTGAAATACATACTTCAACATGTTGAATTTTGTATAGTCATAGATTTTTTTCAATTAGATTTTAATCCAATGATTAATATTGCTTAAATTTTTTAAAAAGTAAATATGATTCATAAATGATATCTTGTTTTTTTTTTATTTTGTTTATTTTAATGCTTTAATTGGTCTGTTTTCTAATATAATTTCAAAACTGCCTAACTGAAGATAGATCTGTTATAAATTTTACAATCTTTTTATAATATATCTTATGAGCAAAAGCTTTCTGTATTAATAGCAGCATTGAAGAAAACTTTAATATTCTAAAAAGAATATTACTCTGTAAATAAACATTCAATAAATGAATAATTTCATAATATACAACTTGTAAAAAAAAGAATTATTCTATAAATAAATATTTTTTAAAAAAAAGATGATAATCTCTAAGCATTTTAAATAAAATTAATTTAATTAAGCATAAGATTATTTTTTCCAAGAAAAAATTTACGATAGTTTTTTCGAAATTTTTATTGTTCGCAATAAATACTATATAATGTAATAAAAAAAATTATAACTTCTTATAATTATAAGTTTGGCGCTTCAATCAGATCAAATTGTTTCTAATAAATATATAAAGTAAAGGCTCGTCCAAATTCTTCTTTCAAAAACAGAATTGTCTTCGCAGTATCATCCTGTACCATCTATTTAATATCTAACGGTAGTATATATACCTTAAGATAAATCTTTAAATTATGTAAATTTGTATAATTAAAAATTATAAAATTTTTTTTTAGACAATAAGTACATTTCGTAAATAAAGGAAAAGTTTTTAAGCTCTGATCGGCTAACAATAATTTATTTATATATTCGAATATAATGATCATGTTTTGGAAACTTGATCCGATTGATCACAATGTGTGTCTTTTTTTCTTTTTTTATTATTATTGAATGTATGTATTAAAATATTACTACTTAAAAAATTATATTTTAACTGTATTATACAATATATATTTTGATTTTTAATTCTTAAAAGGAATATTCATATTCAAATATTTTTGAATATCAAACTTCATAATAATTTATATACATACTATTACAATAATTATATATTCAAATAAATTTTTTTTCTAATCTTATTTAGAATATTTGTTTTATTTTTTGATCTTGTTTGAATGTTTAAATATTTTTTTCTTTGTTTAAAATATTAAGAAAATGCTATGTGAATATTTTCAGAATTTTTTAAAAGATTTTTTCACAATAGAGAAATATATTGAATACAAATAATCTTCATTTACAATTTAATAATATAAAAATATTTAAGAACAAGAATTTAATAATAATTTAGTAATAATAATTTCAGGTGCAACAATTTTCATTACAATTTTTCTTTATCCTTTAAAATTTAGTGCTGGCGGTTATATTCTTAATAATAAATTATCGAAAAAGTTAAATGAATGTATAATTTGATTCATTTAAAATTTTAATTTTTTTTTTCAGTTTTTTTTTTGATAATATAATGACTTATATTATTATATTAATACAAATAAGTCCGTGAACAAATTTAATGAAACTTTTAGACAAAATTTTTCAAGATTAAAGATTTATTACTTCTAAAATCATGATTTTTATATTTTATTATAATAAAGAGATTGTTGGGAAAAAAGTATTGAGATTTTGACTTGCAATGTTTATGACATTCATTTTTTATCTATTTTGAAGATTATAGAACTTTTAAAATTTTTGAAAATTTCGAAGATTATTCCTTATCACGATTTAAGTTGTTTATTCAATCATAAATCGTGTTTGTTAGAAAAAACATATTTTTTAGTTTTTGAGATTTTATAGTATTATAAAATTTTCTATAAATTTTTTATAAATTCCATGACTGTATCAGACACTTATAATCAACTTTCTAATCTCTACTCTTATAATATTATTATGAGTATTAGATATATAAGAATTTATTTAAAAGAGAAAATTTCGAAAACAAATAAAAATTTATAAATCAATTTCTGATTAAGATAACATCGTGAAACATGTTTATCTTCAAAAATTGTTATTCACATTGAGAAACTGATTATAACAAATAAAAAATTTTATATGGATTCGAAAACATTATTTCTTTGCTTTCAACATATACACAGGGGTGTAAACGATTTTGAAACATGTGTAACATGCTTTTTATTACATACTTATCACAATTCTAAAAGTCTGAAAAATATAACTATAAGTGAGAAGTATATATATATATATAAATATAACTGAGAAGTTAAATATAAAAGTTTGGATTCGAAATAGAATCGCAAAAGAAATAATTTAATACAATCCTAAGATAATTATAAAGAATTTTGGAATTATAACAATTTTTTTCAAAAGACAAATGTTATATTTGAGATTATTAAATATATACAAATTCTATTTTTTATTTATTCTACATTACTAGAACCGTATAATTTAGCTTATCTTATATCGTAATTTAACAATTATAACAATTTACAGTTAACAATCATTATTAATAATTTAACAATAATTTAACGATAATTTAATAATCATCCGCAAACAAAGCAACAATTGTTAATTTTTAAATACGATCATACGATCATTCAACAGAATCTTTAATCATGAGACAAACAACTGCATTTGAGCAAAATTATTTCGCATTTGAAATTAAAAAAAGTGATTTGGATCTTTCATGCAAGAAAATTGAAATAACTTAATAATCAGTGTTAATAATCAGTTATTATTAAGATTAAAATTATTATATGGCTTATTTTAATAACTCAATGGTGTATTATGTAAGATAAATACAATCACACTATAAATAAATAATAATTTCTTAATAAAATGCAAGAAATAAATATCAAAACAATGAAATAAATAAACAATTGCATGATACATTATATGATAAAGCATAATGAAAAATATAACTTAATCAAATCATGTATGATCATATAAACCAAGTATATCAAGAAAAAATTTATTGATATTATAAAATAATAATATCAATAATAGCTATATGAAATCCTTAAAAATAAACTTTTGATTTCAAACTTTTAAAACATATGAGAAAACAAAAAAAGAAAAAAAAATAGACATGAACTAAATGTAAAATATAAAAAAAATATATTAACTATCAATGATCACAATTTTTTTGTAAAATAAAATTCTAAAGTTTTTATTAAATTGTTTTAAAGAAAACAATTTATAAGAAATAATAAAAATTTTATTATTAAATTTATTAAGAAAAAATTTATAAAATCTATAAATAAAAAATGTAGTACTAAAGATATTAAAGTAAAACATTATGTATTGCTAATGTTTAATATAAGTCATAAAAATGACTGTAAAAATTCAATAAAATTTTTACAATAAAGTTAAAAACGAAGTTAAAAAAAAATCATACAAATCATAATTTATATCTAAAATACTATTCAAATATGAAATATAAATAAAAACATACAAAAAACATGAATTTTTATAGATTGGAAAAAAAACAAAAAAATTAGAAAAAAGAAGAAGATTCAAAACTCTCTAATTAATAATATACAAATACAAATTGCTGATTAATCTTGAAAAAAAATTAAATTAAAATTAAGAATATTTTCTTTAAAAAAAAATTGTATTGTCTATTTTAATTTTATTTTCATTAATAAATAAATAAAATGACATCTGCAATTTTCGATCAATCTCAAGAAGTTTGCATTGACAATGTACAATTTTAAATAGAATTCTAGATGATATGATGATTATCTTTAATTGCATTAGCTATAAATGAGATGTGAAGAATGTTATGACAACATATAAATAGGTAAAGTTATTCATTTTATAATTTGCAATAGTATGTGGCAATTTTAAAGAAACATAAAAAGAAAGAGTGATAATTAATAAAAAAAGTAAAAATTTTTATTAGAATTTTTATTAAAAATAAATATAATTTTTTTAACAAATAAATATATATAACTATTTACATAAAAAGAATTAAAAAAAATATGAAAGGTAAGTAAATATCAGTATGTATATGTGATATTTTTTTTTATATAAGAAAATAATTTTTTTAAAAATAATGATAAAAAAATATTATTTTTGTTAAAGATGTCATCTCGTTGATACTTTTATATTACATTGATCTATTTTTTCTGATTTTCATTTTAATTTATAAAAATATTGTGTTATAATTTATATAATATAATTACTTATATAATATATTTATATAATATAATATATATAATTTATATAATATTTATATAATATATTTAATATAATTATAATATAATATAATTAATTTTGTAAAAATCTCTGGATATTATTATTATAAATTTGATTATCAAAATTCTCTGTACATTGTACTTTTAGACGCAATTGAGGCATTTAAAACAAAAATTTTGGATGGATACGCATGGATACCAGAAACCCAATATGCTTCGCTATTACCTATCATTATCATTAATGAAATATTTGGGTTACGTGTATTTGAATTGAAAGGACGATTACGATATGGCTGGAGTATAATATACATTGGCATATGCATCATTCTATATAGTATATTTCTAAATGCAATAATAAATACAGATTATAAAAATTGGCTTGCATACCAAGAGATCATTTATAAACTAACAATATTTATTAATATTATATGCGTTATGATTTTTATAGTTCTTGGAATGCTGAATACAGAAGTAAGTATTTTTAAAATTAATATGATAATATACATAATTATCAAATAAATAAAAAAAATAGAAATATTAATAAAAAAGTTTTGTTTTGATATATATATATATATATATATTTATTTTATGTCTTGATTATTGATTCTAATATATTATATATTGCTTGCTATTTCTAATAATTCTTAGAAATAAAACTTCAGAATAAATTTCAAATATATCGAATAAAATAAAATGGAAATTAAATATAACATTGATTCTTTATTTGATTTATATGCATTTCTCTTTCGTATAATTTGCAATAGTTATTTGTCAAAATGAATATATTTCAAACATTTTAATTAATATAAGTTATCACATTTCAGAAATATATAACATTATTACTGATATAATATATAACATTATTACTAAGAAGTTTTTAAAATATATTATAGTTATTATAGTATATTATAGTATATTATTTAATAATATTTATATTATTAAAATAATATAATTAAATATATTATTTTTATAAAAAATTATAAATAATGTAACTTAATAAATTAATTAATCATTATATTAATTAATCATTAATATAAAATATTTTTGTTTTATAATTATTTTATTTATTTTATTTATTTACTAGCGTAAAATTAAATGTTCAGTTTTTCGTGAAACTTGCAGATATTTAACTTATTTATTACTATTTTTCTTCAATTATAAAAATTCAATCGATTCAAAAGAGTTTTTTTTTGAGATTTGTTTTTAAATTTTTTCTTTAAGGGAAAAATCTTTTTTTGTAATAATAACATTTTAGAAAAAATTGATGTTCGATTTTTTGGTAATTTTCTAGAAAAAAGACTTTCTTGTCAATTTTGATAATTTTGATAATTTTTGGATATGTTGTAGAAATTAAAATTTTGAACAATTTTTTTCTAATTATAAATCGTTAGATTTTAGTTTTCAAAATATTTGTAAAAAAAGATTGCTACTATATAGAATTTTTTTACACACAAGCATATGATCTATTTATTTAACTATTAAATATATAATAATAATATAAATTAAATCAAAAATTTACTTTCTTATAAATTTAAAATATTTCAAATTCAATTCTTTCTGCGGAATATGAAAATAAAATGTAAAATAATCTTAAACAATATTAACTTCAATCCGTTCGTGAACTATAGCATATAGTAATAAAATTTATTATAAAATTATTAATAAGTTCTACTTTAAATAATCAAGAGCAAAATTCATATCGTAATGAAAATTTATATTTATCATTGAATGAATTCTAAAGATCTATTAATTTTATAAAATTTAAGAGTTCAAAAAACATTCTAGTAGTTCAATAATTATAATATTTTCTTAGAATAATTCACAAAATCAAAATGTTTTAAAATTAAAAAATATTTCAATTTTTTTCGAATTTTACCAAGTGTTCGTATCCTTTAAATTCCCTTCATATTCATTTCTCAAAATCGTGGGTTTTTGATAGTACACATAAACGACTAATAGAATATGGACCAATCCCTTTCCTTAACCTAAGGAAAATTCGTAGAAGGTTAGATTAGAGGTTAGGTTAGAACGTTGTGCCATTCACAAAATCCATTTTCCGAGAAACTAATTCGCGAATGTTTAATAATTTTTCTCAAGTAAGATGATGCTTGAAATATTCATTGAGATTGACATAATTAAAAAATACTATTTCAAGTTCTAAGATGTATTCTTATATATTTTATATTCTAGACATACCGAAATGTTTCTAAAAAATATATAATTTCAAGAGTTTTTTAAATTATTTTCTCAAAAATGGCATGTTCTTAAGCAACATCACTCTATACCATTTGTTCTGTGTTTTAATAATCGATTGAAATTATGATCAGTTCATATATATAATATAATGATCAGTTACAATAATAAATATCAAATATGATACTGATATTGCTATCATTTTATTCATAAATATTCGATGAGGTTAATGTTTCAATTTTCGACAACTTTTAGAAGTCGGTATCTAAATTTTCCAGAAAAGAATATTTAAAAATATTGAAAAATAAATTTTTAGAAGAAAAATCTTGTGATTGTAATTCTTTATTTACAAACATTATTAACTTCAATTATTAACTTCAATATTTAAACATTTTAATTATTTAATTAAAATTAAAATTAATTAATTATAATATCATTTCATTATACATTTGATAATAGTCAAATCTAGTTCCAATGAATGATATATAAAGTGGAAAATTATAAGAAAAAAATTCTTCGCTATCATTAAATGCCTTATGATTTATATTATAATTTAAAAAAATTTTTTCAAAAAATTCTCCATTATTATCGAATGTTCATATCTTATTAAGTATAAAATAAAAAATATAAGATTGTTAAAGGATAATACTTTTTAAAATTTTAATATCATACATTCTAATGAAGCAACTTCTATTCTCATGCACTATATGTATGTTGTTCTCTAGTAAAAAAATCAGTTTTATATACTATTTTATATACTATTTTATATACTATTAAATGAAATAATATAAGAAAGAATTAACTTTCACACATTTGTTTAAATATAATGAAGTGTAAATAACATGCTGATATTATGGTATTAACTGCATGATTTCCAATTAAAAAAACGATCTTTAGTAATTAATAATATGATATGAATATGAACGTAATAAATTTATAATGACATCGATATATTCGGAACGTGATAATTTCAACTTGTCATTTAACTATCGAAAAAGCAGATTGCAATACTGATGAAATGTTAAAATAAAATGCCTGGACGCGGTCCAGATTTAAAATAATATTAAAATTCTTTTATAATGAAATATAATTTAGATTTTGTCTGATAGTCAAATCTATACTAAAAAAAAAGCAGACTTGAACTGGATAAAATTTTAATCTAAAAAATAATAATTATCATAATGGCAACACTATATAAAATAAAAACTAAAATATATAACAAATAAATATATTAATCCTTAAGTCGTACTTCAAATTAACAACTTATGATTTGATGCAAATATTAGAATGAACACTGAATATGAGAATTAACTTCTAATATTTCTTGAAATATGCGTGATGCTGTTGGTTGTCAGATGATGATTAATTTCTCGTTCATTATACATAATTTTCACAAAAAAGTTTCAAAAGGAAACGGATATGTTACTGAGAGTAGCGCGGATAAATAAATTTGTCAAAATTTCGATTTGAGAAAATGGCAGAAAAAATTGATGATTAATTATAAAAGTCTTGATAAAAAAGAGCGATTGTTTTTATTTTTTCTGTTATCAGATGAGTCATTATTTTGAAATAACATGCGATATCCGCGCATCATTAAGAATTTGCAAAAAATGAAATTATAAATTATTGAATTTTAAGAAAATATGCTAATATAACATAGAAAAAATAATATAATGTACTAAATATTGCTTATGTGATTTGCAATAGCAAATTCCAAAAAATACTGGCAACCTTCCAAGAAAATTAAAAATTTACTAAGTTTAATGATTTTATGATTTTATTTTAAATAAACGAAATAAAATAAATAAATAATATTTTAAAAGTTTTCTTTCTCATATATAATATTAATATATTGATTTTTTTTTGAATGATCAATTTTAAAGGCTAAAATAAAAAAAAAAGTTGATATATTAAAATTCGGGATGAACTTTATTTATTATGTTTTACCAAATTTGTTTTCAATTTATTGAAAAAGCTTCAACTAATATTTTTATATTAATTTTTATGTTTGTTTTGATTCCTAGAATCAAAAAATAATTTTTGAATATATTAATAACTTATTTCATTTTTCTAATATATTTATTTCTATATTATTTCTTTCATTTATATATTTTTCTTTTTTTTCTATTACAGCGTTCAAGAAAAATTATTGCAAGATGTGAACAAATAGATAATATTTTACAATCATTTGGAATTGAGAAAAATTATCGAAAAATTTTCCTCCAACTTATACAAACATTAATTATCTTCAGCATAATAATAATAAGCATTATCTCACTAAATTGGTATTGGTACATTTATACCTATAAATTACGAGAATTTAATTTAATTTTGCTTATGTATATACCAATAATAACTACGACTTTAGGAATTTTTACGTTTACTGTATTCGTAAGGTAAATTATAAAAAGAAAGAAATAACTATGAACTTAAAATTAAATAAATAGATAAATATTATATTTCTGAATTTAAAATCAAATTTCTTTAAAAATATATAAACTCTACATATATAAATATAATATAAAGTAATATATATATATTTCAATAATGCTTAAGAAATATAAGAAAAAAACAAGAATTTAAAAAAATAAAATCTGAAAAAGAAAAAGAATGTTGTTTTAAAATTGAATTTTACATAAATAGAATAACTACAATAAAATCAATTATATAATTTTAATATTTTTTATTATTTATTTAGTATTCAATTAATTTTTTTTATTTTTAATTATTTGTAATCAAGCAGCAATAAACAGTAATTATTTAATAACATAATAATTTTTTATTATTTCTATTCGAGTAAATTCTATTTCTATTTTTTTTTTAATTTCTATAGCATGATTAGTTCTTTTTTGTGATTTCATAATTAATTATGAATTAATTATAATTAATTAATTTATTTTCTCAAAATAAAATTAAATTTTCAATAATATCAAGATAAGGATTTAATGTGACTATGACAGTGACTTTGAATTAATTTCAAATTTCTTAAATGATGATGAAAATTTATTAATAAAAATTATATAAAAAAATAGTATTTTCATCTTTTGTCAATGCTATAATTAACATTAAATGTCCATATTACAATTGAATTGATTTAATTTGAAATATGGTTTAACTCTTGTGAAAAAATAAATTGCAATGGAAAAATTAAATATTAGAAATTTTTATATGATTTTTTATTTTGTTCTGTGACCAAATCAGTAATTTAGATCATATTCTAATTATTCAATTAGAATTCCTAATTACTAATTCAATCCTAATTACTAAAAATTAAAAATAAAGAAAAATTATCTAAATATTAATTACGAGGATATTAAAATTACACGTTGAATTTATATTCTTTATTTTAAAATATATTTTTGAAAGATCATTCTTTATTTTCAGATTTATAAAAAAAATTTTTTTGTTTTTTTATTTTCTTTAATTATAGAAATACATAAGATATTTTTATTTTTGTTTCTTTTTTTTTTAAAATTGTATTTTTATAAAAAAATGAATGATTTATAATTTTATGAATATGATGATTTTATAATTATTAACAATGCATGCTCCGAAATCATTTGAGATATTATTGTTAATATTATTATAATATTATTGTCAATATTATTGAATTATTGTTAAGTATTTTACAGGATAAGTTGTATAAGATAAACAAACTTATGAAAGAAGTACATCAGTTATGTAATACAAATAATATTAACATAAGATATGAAATACAATCACGTATTACAAGTAAATTTATAATTCTAATGGATTATTATAGTAGAAAATATTTTATTCAATATGTTCTTCAAGTTACAAGGTATGTTTGATATTATACATTTTATAGCAATATCTAGAATTTCGTAATTTTGTAATATTAATTAGTAAAGATAGCCTCAGACAGTAGATAGCTCTCGGACATTTTTAATATCTTGATTATCTATAAATAATTACATCTTAGTAATAATGTAGTACTATCAAGCAAATTAGATATTATAATCAATTTTCTTTTCATTGAAAATGTCATTACTGATATAAAATTTCATCTATGTTCATTATTAAATGTTTTATTGATTTGAATAATATATATTATATAATATTATTTTAAATGTCAACATATTTTTTTGTCAACAAAATACTTTAAAATTTATCTAATTTTCTTTCATATTATATAAATTATTGGCAAGAATGTTAAATGAGATCAATCGATACATTTTCATCTTCTAGATATTTTTAAGAATCACAAAATAATTTTAAAAAATAAAATTAAATATCTTTGAAGTTTCAGTTTTTTTCAATTAAATATGATATAATATAAAATGATATTTATTGATGAATTTTTAATATTCCGGAATTTATTTTTTGAATCATGATATATTTAGCGATATCAGTCTTTTACTTGGTTCAATGACTAATATAAAAACGAATTAATTTATTAGAATATTTAATATAATAGTACATATAATAGTATATACTTAATATAATATTACTTAATATAATATTTCTATGTAATCTCTTATTGAATTATTAATCTTAATGAATAACTTTTCTCTTTACGTAATATTTCTAATAAATATTTAATACTTTAATACAAAAAAATGAAATTTTAATTTCTTCAGTTGATGATGAATTTTTTATAAAAAGATTGCCACTACAAATAAAAGATATTGCAGAAAAATAATACTAATATTTTTAATTAAAATGAGCATCATGAGACACAATATATTCTTTATGAAAAAATTTACTTTATGAAAAATGTAGTATAATAAATATAAAAATTGAACATATAAACAATGTACAAATATTGATATATTAAATTTGTGATATTATAGTGTGATATTTTTACATGCGAAAAAACCATTGAAAATTATGTCCGCGACTATATTTTTTAATTGTATGATCATATCATTTTCTGATTATAGATAATCACAATAAATCAGAAAGTTTTTTTTATATATATATATTCTTTTTATATATTTGTTTTCTTGAAAGAAAAGTTTCATTAAAATTTATAGATTTATTTTTTTATATTATTTAAAATATCTGAAGCTATCCTTTTCCCTTATTAATATAATAATTTATTAGATTGAAAAAATAATAATATTAATATTATTTTATTTCCTATTTCTAACTTATTTCTTTTTTTTTTTTATCTATTAAAGGCACATTCATTTTGAGATCCTTAAACTTTCACATGAACTTAATCAAGCATATACTTATCAAATTTTATTAGACTTAATAGTGCAATTTTTATTAATACTTTGTACACTTTATAATTTATATTTTTATTTAAAATCATTCAACATATCAGAACCATTATCAAATATAGGAATTATAGGATTTTTAATATGGATTTCTCTGAATTTAATAAAAATTATTTTTATAAATAATCATTGTACTAATTTGTATCGTGAGGTAAGATTTATTTATATTATATTTATTTATATTATAAAAAAAAATTGATATAAAAATATGTATATAATACTAAAATTGTATAGGTACAAATAACAGCATATTTACTTCGACAATTGGAAATTTGCTATTTAGATAATTCTATTAGAGATGAGGTAAGATCCATTTATAGTGATTAAACTTGAATTTATTATGAATTTACTATGAATTTACTATGAATTTACTATTATTTCTGCCAAAGTAACTTATATTTCTTTCTGTTTATTAATTTCATAATTTTGATATATATATATAAAAATAATCATTTTGATATTCAATATCATAATGTGTTTTCTTCACGCATAATGACTAAATAGCAAAATAGCTTTAATTTTTGAATCATTCATAAAATACTTTTGATATTATATTATTGAATTCTGTTTATGCAAGATTTTATATATAATAAATTATTTATCATTGGCTTTATATTGGTTTATATGGAGATGATTTATAAAATCAATTACGAGATCTATTTTTTGATATATTATATTATAATATAATCTCGAAATTATTTAACAATTAAAAATAGATTTATCATAAATTTTGCATATAACAATATTTTTATATATTTTATATATATTTTATATATTTTTATATATTTTATATATTTTATTTTTTTATATATTTTATATATTGCAATATCTTTTACGAGCAAAAACTTCCTATATCAATAGCAGCATTGAAGAAAATTTTATATCTTAAAAAAAAAAAAATATCAATCTGTATAAATCAACATTCATTAAAAAAAATCATTTTGTAATATTTTAAAAAAGGGATTATTCTGTAAATAAATATTTTATAAAAAAAAGATATTTTTTATACAAATATATTTTAAATAAAATGAATCAAAGAAATAATAAATCAAAGGAAAAATATATTTGTGACATATGGTTTCTTTGAAGTTTTTCTTCTTTGTAATGAATACTATATGAAGTATTATAATAAAAAAAAATATTATATAAAAAAATAATAAAAAAAAAAATTTGAAAATCATAAGTTAATTCTGCAATTATTTTTTTAAACTTTTATCGATTTAAAAGTATCTGAAGATAAGGAATTATTTTCCAAAGCGACAAATAATTTTTAAACATTATTTGCATGATGATTATTTATGTAATTATGATAATTTGTTATTATGATAATTAATTGCATAATTATGATAATTATGCAATT